ATTATCCATTTCGAATGCTTCTAATAAATCATGCACTAATTTCCATAATGGTTCAATACGATTATTTGTGTTGCGATCCTTGTGTTGATATGAGTAAGTACCCAAAAATTCATTTAATAATGTATCTATTCGATTTCTTTCCTCTTGAGTTGCTTTAATTTGTAACTCTAAGTTTTTCTTGATTACACGAATTTCTAGTAATATTCTGTTTAATATAAGCAACACCATGAGTTTCTAACGCTTCGTCAAAAGCAGGATAATGTCCTTCTCTTGCTAAATTTATAGAAGCACAAAGATGAAGTTTTTTTTCTAACAGTGGATATTTTTCTAAATTCGCAAGAAAATGTGTAACAGAAGTAGCATAATTGCTTTTTTTCGTTGCAGGAAAAAGTGGAGCAAAAGCTGCTAATCCAAATTTTTGTAATTCATAATTTCCACAGTGTATTCCGGTAAGATGAGTTTTCCATATTGCAAACCATTCATAATATAAGTACCATATTCTTAAGCATATTTTCTCATTTGCAGGACAAGATAATATTTCTTTTATTTTAATCTTACTTTTTTGTAAGTATATATTAATGGCTGCTCCAACTGCAACCCAGATTAGTTCTAAAACCCTTCTTGTAGATCGACAGTCAATAACAGCTGCAAATTTATCCAAAAATTTCACACCTAAAGCCGTAGCCAAATCATATATTCCGTAACTTGAAAATAATACACTAGTCGAAAAAAGACCATTCGGCATAAATTTGACCAGGTTGAATATAGGTCAAATGATGATCTAACATGTGTCAAATTGAGGTCAAATTTTTGGGCGCATTTAGGGTGCCAATCGTCTCAAATTCGGAAAGAAAATTTGGCCATCACTACACTACCATTCGACCTAAATTTGACTAGGTTGAATTTAGGTTGAATTTAGGTTGAATTTAGGTCTAATAGTGGCGTCAAATTGAGGTGCAGTTCGGATGATTATTCGACACAAAATTTTGTCTCAATATTTATTTATTAATTTAGTTCAATTTCAAATTTATTAATTTATTAAAACACTTAAATATACAGTACATGTATATTAGCATCTATCTAATGTATAAATAAAATAATTATACACAATTTCACAATCACATGATCGCATTTTGAAAAGAACGAATGTTAAAAGTCGTTTTACTATAACTAAAGAAAAAAAATAAAGTCCAAGTCCGATCTGAAATAAAAATTCGGAAAAACAAAACTTTAAAAAAAAAGTTTCAAAACGAACCGTTTTGAAACTTACTAATCGATCCTATCATCCGGGATAAGGAAGCTGAAACTACAAAATAAAATAATAAAAAAATTAATTAATAATAAAAAAAAATTTTTTTAAAAAAGTTTTTAAGTGAAAACTTACCAATTCGATCCGGGAAGTGCGAAACTGTTGATTTCTACAAATTATAAGATAAAAAAAATCAATAAAAAAAATCAAAATTAATAATAAAAAAAAAAA